GGGGTCTTCATTATCCCTTTCTGTTTATTTAAAATATCCTTTAGATTTGATTTTAAATATTTAAAGCTAATAGAGCATTGTGCAACCTATCTCCCAGGGTCCTTATTACCCCTTTCTGTTTATCAAGCATATCTTTTTAAGTGTGATTAGCTCCTTCTATAGCTACTTGTTCTGTAAGATTGTGTGGTATGCCTGTGATATGATTTATGTTGCAACATGCAAAAAGCCTGTTTCGTTTTACTAGAGATATATGCTACAACATCGTTTGCCTTAGTTTGCACAGGTATCCCTATAATGCCCATACCTGCTAAATTTGTAATTACAGAACCAGCATTTTCAGAACTAAAGACAGTTGCCCATTGAAATCTTTAACAACTATCTCTGGTATGGTGCACATATTTTAATTTTCCAAACTATGCAAAACAAAGCCTATCTATTTGCCCAATCTCATTTCCTTGAGTACCTTTTGGGTTATTTCCTGTAGGTAATAGAGTTAGATTACACAAAGAACAAGTAGGTCCCAGCACTCGGGAGGCAGAGGCAGGAGGATCTCTGTGAGTTCGAGGCCAGCCTGGTCTAGAAAGCAAGTTCCAGGACAGGCTCCAAAGCTACAGAGAAACCCTGTCTCAAAAAACAAACAAACAAACAAAAAGAACAAGTAGGACATTCTGTTGCACTTTCTTGTATTGTTGCCAAGTAATAGAAGAAAATTTTTATTTCAAACATTTGCTATTAACATGGTGTATTCTTTTAAGAAATTCTGAGACTTCTAGCACATTTCCTATTAATAGTTGACCAATTTCATCCTTACCTTGTGTCAGAGGGCCTGATAGACCCACATGCGATCTGGTAAGTGTTAGCTACAATGAATGATTTCTATTTCTGATTACTTGTTGTATTTGAATAAACAACAAAGTTAATTCTGAATCATCTGGGAAAAAAATCAGGAGTTTCTTTTCTTTTTTTTTCCAGTTTTTCCAGATTGGTTTTATATGTATCTCTGGCTGTCCTAGAACTCACTCTGTAGACCAGGCTGGCCTTCAGCTCACAGAGATCCGCCTGCCTCAGCCTCCCTGAGTGTAGGAATGAAAGGCATTCACCACCATTGCCTGGCTAATTCAGGAGTTTCAGTATGTAAAACAACTCTTTATGCATTTCGAGAGTAAGTAACTTTATAAAGAGGTTCTGGAGAGATGGCTGAGCAATTAAGAGCACTGACTGCTCTTCCAGAGGACTGGGGTTCAATTCCCAGCACTCACATGGCAGCTCACAACTATCTCTAACTCCAATTCCAGGGGATCCTGTATCCTCACACAGACATGCATGTAAGCAAAAGCACCAATTCATATAAAATAAATATATTTAAAAAAAAAGAGGTTCTGGAAAATCTAATAATACCACGAGAATAGCATATAATTAAAATCAATGAGGGCTTTGAGCCACTTTACTTATCTTTTCCCGACTTATAATCTGCCTTTCCTGATTTATTTGCTTCAGTATAGAATGTAGGAGCTCCAGAAATTGGTGTTCCATTTATTATACGAGGGAGAATCCAATTGGTTCTTTTTATAAACTGATATTTACTGGGAACATTTGTTGCTAATCTCTCTCAACAAAGTACTGCCAGCTCTTTATCACTGTCCATTTTTCTGCCCATAATGAGGCAATATCAGCATTAGTAAAAGGTCCCATGATTTCTTCTGGGTCTATCCCTACTAACTGATGAAATCTCAACTGTCCTTTTAGAATCAATTCAGAAGCCTTTTCTACATAGGTCTTTAAGTTTTTAATCTGTTTGTGTGGTAAAAATCCTAAGTTATTCTAAGGTATTATCTTCTCTCTGCATAAGACTTCCTGTAGGAGAATGAGCAGGAGGCAGTGTGACTAGGATTCCATCAAGCGCTGGATCCAAGCGATCCACATGTGCGTCCTGTAATTTCTTCTCTACCAGAGTCAATTCTCTCTCAGCCTCAGCTGATAATTTTCTTAGACTGTTTAAGTCCTTATCACTTTATAAGGCTTGAAATAAGTTATTTAGCTCTTTTTAAAATTTTTTTTTTAATTTTTAATTATTTACTGTGTATACAGTGTTCTGCCTAAAGAGGACACCAGATCTTATTACAGATGGCTGTGAGCCACCATGTGCTTGCTGGAAATTGAACTCAGGACCTCTGGAAGAGCAGCCAGTACTCTTAACCTCTGAGCCATCTCTCCAACGAAGTTATTTAGCTCTTGAGTAGTTAATCCAATCGTAGGCCATAGCCAGTTAATAATTATCTCCTTGGGCTGGAGAGATGGCTTAGAGGTTAAGAGCACTGGCTGCTCTTCCAGAGGTCCTGAGTTCAATTCCCAGCAACCACATGGTGGCTCCCAACCATCTGTAATGAGATCTGGTGCCCTCCTCTGGCGTGTGGGCATACATGAAGGTATAAATAAATAAATCTTAAAAAAAAAAACACATCACCACCAACTAAAACAAGAACGATAAAAGAAAATGTCTAAACTTACCAATTGTTAGTTATTAAAAAAAATAATTATCTCCTAGCAATTTTTGAAAATCATTAAGCATTTGTAACTGATCTTTCCTGATTTGTACTTTCTGTGGTTGAATTTTCTGTGAAACTATCATATCCTAGGCAATTAATAGAATCTATTCTTTTTATTTTTCCAGAAACAATTTTTCAATCCCCAACAATTCTCTTTACTTCATCAAACATTTTTTCTAAGGTATCTATGTCTGAACCAGCTAGTAAGATATCATCCATGCAATAGTAAATTATAGATTGAGGAAACTGAATTATCTCTGATGACTGTTGTACAAAATATTGACACCAGTGGGGCTGTTTAACATTCCTATGGCAAGACCACTGGCATCTTCTAAAAGTTGAGAATTATTATAAGTGGGCACTGTGAAGGCAAATTTTTTTCTGTCCTGTTCCTGTAAAGGTATAGTAAAAATACAACCTTTTAAGTCGATCAGTATAATAGACTGTAAGGAGCCATCAGGACATCGCCATTGCGAAATGGTGCTGGCGGTCCTGCAGCTTGGAGGTAAACAAATCCTTTTGGCCTGCATTTGCACAACTGAGCCTTGTCCCTAGCCAATCCCGAAGCCCTGATCTCCAGCAGAATGGTATTCACCAATCAGGACAGTATCCAAGCCCCTCCACCCTAGAAAAGCAGCTGCCTCTGGACTTTCCTCCTCTCTCGCACCTTCTCTCCTTCTCTCGCTTCCTCTCCTCTCTCTCCCTGCTTTCTCTCTCTCTCTTTCTCTCTCTCTCTCTTTCTCTCTCTCTCGCTCTCCTGCTCTCTCTCTCTCTCTCTCTCTCTCTCGCTCTCGCTCTCGCTCTCGCTCTCCTGCTCTCTCTCCACGCTATCCCTTCAACCGAGAGGCTCCAATAAAGTGTGATTTGGGAAGAATCCTCGATTTTGTGGTCGTTCTTGCTTGCTGGTCAAGCAGCGCGCCACAATAGACTATCCTTTAGGTAGTAAGGAAGGCAAGGGGATTCCAGGCTGCATTCCTATTTGTTGAATCACCTTATTAACAACTCTTAGATCTGTTACCATTCTTCAATTTCCAGATTCTTTCCAATGACAAGTATAGGAGAATCAGGGTCTGGTCGATTCTTCAATATGTTGTATTTAGCTGCTCCAGTACTAGCTGCTCTAGTGCCTGTAATTTTTCTGATGTCAAAGGCCATTGTTCTATCCACTCGGGTTTGTCAGTTAACCATTTAAAGGGAGGGCTGTTGATACCTTTGAGAGATGAACAGCTGTTGTGCCTGCTTATGTACAACCTGAATGGTCGGTGACTGTACTCAACACCACTTCTGATATTTCTCTCAGAAGCGCTCCTTGTTTTAAGGTTTGTTTCTGAGATTGGAGGAATGTTTCTGGTGTGCATTTGTGTGTTTGACCACCGGGTAAAACTGCCATTCATCTGAACTGAAGTTCTCCAGAAGAGGACAGAATCGCTGGAATCAACAGCCTAGCTGCTCAGGTCAAGGTAGGCTTGTCTTCCTACAGATTTCTTAGCCCACAGGATCTTCTGGAGCCTGGCAGGCCCTGCACTAAACATCAGAAGGAAAATATGACCTTCAGTTACCATAGAGGACACTGAGGAGGGGCTCTAGGTGCCAACCAACTAAGTTCTCTGTCATTTTTTAATCAGTAACTCAAGTAAACATTTTGTCCTTCTCAAAGATCTCTGATGCAGTTTGGCAGTTGAGAGGTTTTGTCAGTTTAAAAGGACAACCTCACTAAACAAATTTCAGGAAAATACAAATACAAGACCTCCTAGTTATAAAGGTGTGAGGACAAATACAAGTTATCAAAATTTTCTCACATGCTGCCTTCCAAAGTCTTAAAATTTTTTATTGTACAAAAATATGTCACAGTCATTATACAATGTATGTGTCTAAAACTTCTGTTTTCACAAACCCAAAGAATTCTTGTGAGTTCCAGGGAGCCGAATTAAAGGATCCACCTTAACCAGGTCAGATACACCCACCTCGATTCCTTGGTCCTAAAAATTTTTTTTCTTAATTTAACTTTGTTCTTTGTTCTGCCAATACCTTAACCAGGTGTAAGAGACACCATAAATTTCCACGCCACAAACACCGGACTGGAGCAAAGAGACCAGCTACGCCAGGATGTAGCCAACACTCAGCTTTCTCAGGTTCCCCCCAAAGACGACGCCCACAAATAAGCAGGAAGAAGTCTTAAGAATCCACTGCCTCAATTCCTTTAACCTGTGGTGCCTAACCTCCCGTCTATTTATTTTAAAAAAGAGATGGGAATGTAATGATTGTTCTATCTCTTTAAGAGACAAGCCACGCCCACTCCCTCCCACATCTGCTGAGGCAGGCTGATCTTCAGCTTCCAGCTTGAGCTCTTTACTTTCCATCTTCCTCTCAGGGAGGCAGCTTCGGCCTCTCTCCCCACTTCCCCCTTCCCCCGTTTTTGTCTCTCTCTTCTCTCTCCTCTCTTTTTTCTCTCTCTCTGCTCTTCTCCCCTTCTCTCTTCCTGCTCCATAACCCCCTGAATAAATACTCAACCTCACTCTGCATGTCGTGCCTATCCGTGTCTCTGTCTTTTGTCCACCCACATGGGACCAGTCACCACTCCGGGGCCATCTCTACCTGGGACTGGCTACTCTCAGGGCCAGCTGCCTGCCGCCATATGGCCTGCTCTCACCGCTCAGGGACTGGCAGCCGTCTCTGCCCAGGACTGGCTGCTCTCAGGGACCGCTGCCTGCTGCCACATGACCCGCTATCACCGCTTGGGAACCTACAGTATTTCTGCTGCCTACTGCCGCCAGGGATCCTGCAGCACTTTTTATTTTTCCATTACACCCAGCTCTGCAGTCAGCACCCCGCCATCAATGCCCCACCAGCCACTCAGACCACTGGCCTGGAGGGATTTCTGGATCTATAGCCATGGCCATGATAGGTAGGTTTGAACTAAATTTCTATTTTTCTATTTATCAACAAAGACTCATGTGTTGGATCTGGGGGGTGAAAACCTGCTAGATCAGAAAGTCCAAGAAGCAACCAACTGACCTTCAGTTGGTCAGAAACCCAGCAAGAGACATGTCTCTTTACTTGTCACAAACCAGAAGGTCGTGCCAAGCTGCACGTTCTGCCCTATCCTTCCGGCGTGCCTTCTCTATCTCTGTTTCTGACTTCTCTACAGCTAATTCTGGTGAGCTAGTTGCTGACTCTGCCTCCCGATTCAAGGTTAACTTTATTAACAGAGTTGGAGTGTCATAGTGCAACCAAACAGTACACAACAACCCAACCATGAAATTGTTTTCATTGCTACTTCATTCTGCAGTTTTGCTGCTGTTATAAATTGTAAATAACTGTGTTTTCTGATGGTCTTAGGTGACCCCTGCAAAAGCGTCATTTGACACCCCCATGAGGTCTCGACTCACACAGCTTCAAGAACTCTATATGCCAGTCCCATTTTGGGTAACATGAATACATATGGGGGTTGTGAAAAATTTGGCAACAGTAAAAGATTTCTAAAAATTCAATAGTCAATTATTATTTCAAAATAAGTCAATCCAAGATGTTTGTGACAGTGTTCTACTTCTAAACTTCCAGACACTCTTGCCTGGGAATATTATGCCCATGTCATGAAACACCCCCCCCACCCCCAGAGACCACCGGAAGTCTTAGTTCATATGCAAAAGCAAAGAACCTGTATTGCAAACTTGTACCTGTACTCTGTCTGTCCCAACACAGGAGTTGAATCAGGCGGCGCATTTAGCTCAGCTATGGCATGGCTTTTAAGGAGTAAAGGATGGGGTGGTAGTGGAATTCTGGATTCAGATGAGGGTTGGGTTCTTTATTGGGCAGAAGTAAGGGAATAGAAGTCTAGTCAAACATGGATTGGCATTAGATTTGCTCCAAGGAAATTAGCAACCTACATAAGCTATTCTTAATATTCTGGAACATCTAGTACTTGTTTGTTTCAGTTCTGATTGATCCCCCAAAGGGTATAGTCTGTGGTTTTTCCTGGTTATTGTAATAGTAAGGCCTAGTCTCTGTATTGTTAGTTTGTAGCCTGTCATGACTTCATTGATGTTAAGTTAGGCCTCTTTATTCCCACTTTTCAAGTAACTAGAGAGGACCCAATCATGGGTCCTGTGTCCAGGGGCTTTAGGGGAAGAGCTGGACCACCACACAGTATCCCTTACCTTCATTTAGGTTTTATTTTTTCTGGACTATCCCAGAGATTGACCAGTAAGGGACAGGTATTCCCCAAAGGGAATTTCCCTTTGACTTAGCATTTTCAGCCTGTGAAGGGGACAGAGACAATGTACTGTTTTCTGTAACTGTTTCCAGCTGAAATTGAGGTGTCAGTTGTCAGGGCCCGGAAAGGCTTAAAGGCTAGTCAAAGGCTGGGCAGTGGAGGCATTTATCAGGAGCAGCAGATTAGCTGTTCCAGGGGAAGGGACAGGGAGCAGTCACATTGACTGGACTGGTTCACATCAGCTTTCAGCAAGTCCAGAGCTCAGCAGTTTGCAGTCCGCAGGTGCTCCCTGGGCGGCGTCTGTTAAATCTGCTAAGACCAACATAGACTAAAGAACATTTAGGACTTTAAAAGGAAATCTTTTGGTGGGGGATTGAGACAGGGTTTCTCTGTAGCTTTTGGAGCCTATCCTGAACTAGCTCTTGTAGACCAGGCTGGCCTTGAACTTACAGAGATCCACCTGCCTCTTTCTCCTGAGTGCAGGGATTAAAGAAGTGTGCCACAGCTTCCTGACAAGAAAATCTTATATTTGGAACTTTTACTTATCTGGAGTTCATTTGACCTGTGATAGGCAGATTTAAACCTTATTATCTTTTTGGCTCTTTGAAGTTTACATAATTTTTTTACTTTACCAAAAGAGCTATAAGTTTCAGATACCTTTAGAGTGATATTTTATGTGTGTTCTAATAAATAAAGCTTGCCTGAAAATCTGAATGCAAAGATAAGCCACTAGAGGCACACAATTTTAATTGCAGGACTCAAGGCCACCCAGGGCTACTTAAGATTGAATCTGTCTAAAAAGAGAAATAAAACTCACACGAAGGTGCTCTCAGCACTCGGGAGTCACAGGGCTTTAATCCCAGAGACAGGAGTGGTATGGCAGGCCAGAGAGAGGTATACAAGGCAGGAGGAGACAAGAGATCATTGCAGTCTGAGGTTTTGTGGAGAGTACTGCAGTCTACAGTCATGCTGAGGATAGGGCCACCTCTTTGTTTGTCTGAGCCTTGGTAGAGGTAAGAACTCTGGTGGCTTGGGTACCTTGCTTTTCTGATCTTCAGCTTGAATCCCAAAATCTGTATCTAGGTTTTTATTAGTTGTACTACACCTGGCACCCAACTTTTGGGGTACGAATTCATGAAAAATCATTTGCCTGTGGATAGTCCGTAACTACACATAGCCAGAGACACTGTTCTACCGACTAGGTTTTCCCTCTTTCTCTCCTGAACCGTCTTCTCAGGGTACTGCCAAACTAGGTAGCTATGTTGAAATCCAGCCAGGCTTCCACTGTTCTACGCAGCAGCAGCAGATGTGGTGAGAAAATCGGGAATTCTTAAGGGAGGAATGATTTAAAAGGGAGAGGTTTTTTTCCCACATTAAAAAAAAATGGGAAACACAATCACAAGAGAGAAAATTAGGTTTCTGTATGATTATGTAATGCGTGATTTAAAATAGAACAATTAAATGAAGGGACAAGCAGCTTAACCAGGATTGATGTACTATTAGTTATCATTTTGATAGTCCTTGTTGACATTTTGATAATTCTTGGTTTATCTATTAAAACATTGTTTGATTTGATTGCCAAGTTACAGCTCTTAGAAAAACTTAATAAAACAGATCATAGAAATATTTAGATCCAGACAGAGGGACTTAATGGGGAACCAATTTCAGCATTGCATTGTAAGGTTAGAGAGGAACAACGTAAAGATTTCAAACAACCAACCTTAACATATCCAGCAATCTTACAGGAATTACCAAATGATAGAGTCTCTGGAAGAGCTAATTGGACTCCTGTGCCAATGTTAGAGTTAAGGAAATGCAAGGAAGCAATAGTCTCATATGGTGTGATTTACCTTTGTGAAGCAAGTATTAAACTCATGGTCAGATTGTAATGAAATTGTCCCTAAAGACTGGATAGGCTTGGTTAAAGCTGTTCTAGAGCCTGGTCCACAGTTGCAATGGAGTACTTGGTTCAGAAAAGAGGCTAAGACTATTCACTAACAGACTAAATCTAGAGGTGTGGAAACTCCCAAGGTAGACTTCTTGGAGAAGGAAATTATGCTACTATGGAAAGGCAATCTTTTAACAAAAAGCAATCTTTATATGATGACCACATCCTGGCTTTATGCCACACAAACAGCTTTGAGTGCTTGGGACAGAATTGGAGAATTAGGAAATAAAATTGAGTCATTTACTAAAATTACATAAGGCCCAAAGGAAACCTTCACAGGTTTCTTACAAATATTGACATCAGCAGTAAATAAAATAATACCAAATTCAGAAGCTAGACAACTAATAATTGAATCTCTGGCTTTTGAAGATGCTAATTCTCAATTCAAAAGGATAATTGGGCCTTTTTCATATTGTTTTTTTTTAATATTTATTTATTTACTATGTATACAATATTCTGTCGGTGTGTATGCCTGCAGGCCAGAAGAGGGCACCAGACCCCATTACAGGTGGCTGTGAGCCACCATGTGGTTGCTGGGAATTGAACTCATGACCTTTGGAAGAGCAGGCAATGCTCTCAACCTCTGAGCCATCTCTCCAGCCCCCCTTTTTCATATTGTTATATTTTATTTAAAAAAAAAAGGGTTTCTCTGTAGCTTTGGAGCTTGTCCTGGAACTTGCTCTGTAGGCCAGACTGGCCTCGAACTCACAGAGATCCACCTTCCTCTGCTTCCTGAATGTTGGGATTAAAGGTATGTGCCACCACTGCTGGGCTGGATAATTAGACCTTTAAATGTAAGGTCAGCACCCTTGGAGGAACGGATCTAAGATACAGTCAGTACTGAATCTCATGACCATGATGCTGCATGGAGATAGGAGAGGTGATTTCCAGAAGTTTAAGGAAAAATTGAAATGTCAAGTGTTATAATTGTGGCAAACAAAGCCACTTTAAAAGGGATTGTAATCGGGGCATTTCTAGAAACAATGTTTTTTTTTTCCTAAGCATAATCCAAACAGAATGCTCCTCCCTTCTGGATTATGCAGGAGGTGCAGCAAAGGCAGGAATTGAACTAATGAATGTAGAACAAAGAGATATTCAAGGAAACCCTTTGCCATTGGGAAACTCCTTGCGGGAACTCTCAAAGGCCCCTATGCCAAATCTGTTGCAGTCATTTCCTGCCTTTGTAGAGGAAATTCCTTCCTAGAGCAGTTAAAGAACCTAACGCCTCTTGTAAGAAAGCATAGGGTTTAGCCGGGGGATGGTGGCGCATGACTTTAATCCCCACACCTGGGAGGCAGAGACAGGTTGATCTCTGAGTTTGAGGCCAGCCTGGTCTACAAGAACAAGTTCCAGGACAACTAGAACTGTCACACACAGAAACTCTGACTTGATAAACAAACAAACAAACAAAAAAATGGGTAGTGGTAACAGATTTAAGAGCTGTTAATATGGTGATTCAGCCAATGGGCTCTGTACAGTCTGCAATTCCTTTGCTTTCTATATTGCCTAAAGGATGGCCTCTTACAGTTATTGATTTAAAAGATTGTTTCTTCACTTAAAAGTTTGTTTACAAGAAAAGACAGAGGAAAATCTGCCTTCACAGTGTCTACTTATAATAATTCTCATCCTGTTAAGAGAGTAGAAGGTTCTCACATAGGAATTTTTGTTGTTGTTGTTGGTTTTCGAGACAGGGTTTCTCTGTAGCTTTGGAACCTGTCCTGGAACTAGCTCTTGTAGACCAGGTTGGTCTTGAACTCACAGAGATCCACCTGCCTTTGCCTCCTGAGTGCCGGGATTAAAGGTGTGTGCCACCACTGCCTGGTTCCCATAGGGAATGTTAAATAGCCCCACCCTGTGCCAATATTTTGTAAGTCAGCCTCTGGAAATGATACCTAAGCAATTTCCTGAACCTATAGTTTACTATTACATGGACCTCATCTTATTAGCTGATTCAAATATAGGTACTTCAGAAAGAATGTTTGAAGAAGTAAAGAATATTTTGCCTTGCTAGGGCATGAAAAATTGCTCCTTAAAAAATACAGGGAGAAGATTCTATTAATTATTTAGTCTACAAATTAGGTTTACAAAAAAATTAGACTGCAAAAGGTACAAATTGGAAGAGATAGATTTCAGACTCTTAATGACTTTCAATGATTACTAGGCGATATTTCTAATCTATGTCCCACTATTGGGATAAAACCTGATGAACTGATTAATTTAAACAAAACCTTAGAAGATGACAAGGACTTAAATAATCTCAGGAAATTGTCAATTGAAGCTGAGAGAGAATTGATTTTAGTGGAAGAGAAATTACAGAAGACACATGTAGATCGTGTGGTTCTGAAACATAACTGCATTCTGGTCATGTTACCCTCTAAACATTCCCCTACAGTAATTTTAATGCAGAGGGGAAATACTATCTTAATAGATCTTTTTATCTCATAAATCAAGTAGAAATTAAAAATTTATGTGGAAATGGCCACTGAGTTAATTCTAAAAGGAAAATTGAAATTTTGTCAATTAGCGAGGCTAGACCTAGCAGAAATTATAACATCTTTTAGCAATCATAAAATTGATGAATTATGCACAGAAAATGAATCCTGGAAAAGAGCTTGTAGTAACTTTTTGGGGAGAGATTAACAACAGCTATCCCAAAAGCAAGGGAATTCAACTTATAAAGAAAACTAACTGAGCTAGTTCCAGGACAGGCTCCAAAGCCACAGAGAAACCCTGTCTCGAAAAACCAAAAAAAAAAAAAAGAAAGAAAACTAACTGAATCCTTCCTCTCTTTATGCAGGAAATACCAATAACTGGAGCCCCTACATTTTTATATTGATGCAAATAAGTAACGTCAAAGAAATTATAAGGAAATGTCCTACTTGTTCTTTATACAACCAAATACCACTACCTGCAGGAAGTAACCCAAAGGGTACTCAAAGGAATGAAATCTTGCAGATGGATGTGTTCTATTTTGTAGAATTTGGAAAACTAAAATATGTATACCACATCATTCATACCTATTCAGGTTTTCAATGGGCAACTACTTAGAGTTTGGAAAAGACTAATTTAGTAGTCACATACTTGCAAGCTAGAAAGTATGGCCATCATGGGCATACAAGTACAAGTAAAGACAGACAATGTTCTAGCGTACGTCTTTAAGAAAATGAAATGAATTTTTTCTTTCTTTTTAAAAAAATATTTATTTATTTATTTATTATGTATACAATATATGCCTGAAGGCCAGAAGAGGACACCAAACCTCATTATAAATGGTTGTGAGCCACCATGTGGTTGCTGGGAATTGAACTCAGGACCTTTGGAAGAGCAGGCAATGCTCTCAACCTCTGAGCCATCTCTTCAGCCCCATGAATTTTTTATTATTATAATATAAAGCATATTGCAGCTGTACCACACAATCCTACAGGGAAGGGAGCTATAGAATGATCAAATCTAACTCTAAAGAATATGCTAAATAAACAGAAAGTAATGATAAATATACCCAGGAATAGATTGCATAATGCTGTATTAACTTTGAATTTTCTAAATGCTAATGAGAAAGTAACAACAGCTGTGGAGAGACATTGGATAATAGAAAAAAATATTTTGTTAAAACATACTGTACATACATTTCTATTATTGTTCAAAGTATTGTACCTGTACAACTCATTGAGCAAGGTAATACAAATTTCTAGTTCTTGAAAGTTATTAGTACCAACTGTTTAGGATAATAAGGAAATAGAGGTTAGTAATTAGTCACCTATTATAATTAAACTTGTAGTCATATTTAATATATTGTCATGGTAAAAAAACACAGGCATACTTTAGATAAAAAGTCATCTTCAAACACTTCAGAGAGCAATAGAATATAGAATTTAAGGTATTTACATAACAAAGTCTCTAGTTTATAACAATGAAGCATGTCTACTCCTGGCAGCACCAATCTACTTCAAAGAAGATAATGGGCATCAAAGCAGCTCCACGTGGAGTTTACTCCCTTTGTGGTAAAAGTAAGTCACTGGGCAAGAAAATGCCCTTGCCTTGACTACTGACAGTATGCTCCCCTAATCAGACACAGAGGATACAGACGAGCATGACTGCCAAACCCTGCCAAGACAAGGTAGTGCAGCTCTTCAGAAATCCTGCTTCATAGAAAAGTCTGTCGAGTATTCTAGACCTTTACTAAAGATGGATGTCCCAACATTGCAGAGGATCCTTGGGTGACTGTCCAGGCAGCCAGCTGTTTCTGGCATTTATCACATTTTTTTGGAAATTGCTTGCTTGCACTTCCTGCTTGCTCAGTTAATATTACTTCCTTCTTGGATCTCTGAGGTAGTTGAAGAGTAGATAGTTACAGTTTTCCTTGTTTATGAGACTCAGACAAAAATCACTAAAGAAGCGTATAAGGTTGAGAGATACCAAAAGATAGTTTTCGGTGGTAGTGCTGGGATGACAGGTATTCACCACACCCAACCCATGCTCAGTTTTGTGGACTGTTTGTTATAATAACCTATGTGAGAGGTTGGGCACGGTAGCACCCAACTTTAATCCCATCACCAGAAGGCAGAAAACTCACAGAGTTCTAGGACAGCCAGAATCGCATAGTGAGACCCTGTCTATAATAATAATAACAATAATAATAATATACATGTGAGAAAGGTACAGACAACCATGCCAATTAAGTCAATTAAAATTATCTGAGTCCTGAACTGAGCATAGTGGCGCACCCCTTCAACCTAAGCACTCAGGAAACAGAGGCAGGCAGATCTCTGTGAGTTCAAAGACAGCCTGGTCTACAAAACAAGTTCCAGGAAAACCAGGTTACACAGAGAAACCCTATCTTGAAAAAAACAGAAAGCCACAACAACAATAACAATTATCTGGATCCTTTATCAGCCAATGGCCAAGAGTCAGTTTATGCCTTTGAGTCTCTTGGTGCAGAAGCTCAGGGCTCCAAGATTTTAAAGGCAAAAGCCACAGACACTATAATTTACTTCAAAGTTAGACGAGGGGTAAAGTAACCTTGAGACCTTTGTTTCTGTCAAAGCACAGCAAGCTTTTCCAGATGATGTAATATTCTTTCAGACATATTGTAGTGGTTATTTGGCTACTTACACCCTCCTTAGCTAACACTACTGTTGTATTAGTGTTAGTTATTTTGATTGTTATAGCTGGGCCATGGTCAATACATGGTCAATGTATTAGAAATCTCAAATGTCTTAGCAGACATGACAGTTAGGGGGTAAAGGACTGAGAACCATCTGAGACAGTTGTTATTAACCTGTGAGTCAGAACCTTTGGGATCAAATGACCCTTTCCAGAGGTGGCCTAAAACCATGGAAAACACTGACATTTACATTATGATTCAAAAGGGTAGCAAACAGTTATGTTAGGAAGCAGGAACGAAACTAACTTTATGGTGGGCTCACCACAGCATGAGGAACTGTACTAGAGGGTCACGGTGTTAGGAAGGCCCAGAACCCCTGCTCTAGGGAAATGTAGTGGAATCAGCATAAGATGGCTTTACCTTAGTCACTGGGTATTTATCAACTGAGCAGTAATCCCAAGCACTTTATCAACTGAGCGGTAATCCCAAACCCTATTTTGATGTTTGAAACCTGTTATTCTCTGCTTTGCCCAGGACAGCCTTAACCTTCTGCTGATTCCCCTGCCTCTGCTTTTGGAGATAACCTTCTGCTGATTCCCCTGCCTCTGCTTTTGGAGAGCTGAATCACAGGTGTGGGTCACCACACCCCTTGCTATTTGGTCGGTGCTGGTCTAGTACTTGCTATGTGACTCCAGCTGGCTTTGAACTTGTGGCAAGCTTCCTGTTTCAGCCTCCAGAGTGCAGGGATTACAAGCATGAACCCCCACACTGACATCAACTGTCTTTTTAAAAGATAGTCATGAGAAAAGATTTTTCCTACTTACTCCCACCCCATGCCATAATTTCCCACAGTCTTCATTTTGTGTAAATCCAAATTCCCTACTGCATAAATGTTTTCAAAGATGTCCTGTCGTAAACCAGGCGGTAGTGAAACATACCTTTAATTCCAGTACTTGGGAGACAAAGGCAAACATATCTCTGTGAGTTCGGGGCCAGCCTGATATACAGAGTGAGTTCCAGGACAGATAACAAAGGTACACACACACAAAAAAAAAACAAAACAAAAAGAAGTCCTGTCGTGAACGTTTGCTACGTGTGGTTCTCTCCATCTTCAATTCTCTGAACAGTCTGAACTGCCTTAAAGTTTGAGAAGACAGCAGCCTAAGGTTCCCCCACCAGCTAAACTTCTTTTAGGAAGGTGCAGAGACCCCAGGACAACTCAGGAATGAGCCAGAGAGGCGGTAGCATAAAGGTGTCTACAACTTAGCTCGTGGGGACCTGCCACCAAGCTCAGGGTTGCACATATGCTGAGTTCTCAGCTCCGTCAACAAATTCTCGCTATTCCTCCGTTAAGCCCCGCCCCAGTGGGAGCGGTCTTTGAAGGCTACTTAATGCCTTGGGGGCCTGAGTGCCCGCTACAGTAGCAGCTACTGACTTCAATCTTTATAATTAGTCTGCAACTTTCTCTGTCTTTCCCTTTCTTGATATCACTATGTCTGGGCAACTGTCGCGAACCCTGCCCGCCACTGTGCTGGGTGCCTTGGAGATAGGAAGCAGCTTGGATGTGACTTCCAGCGCCGCGGTGGTGCGCGCCTTCCTGCAGCGCGGCCACACCGAGATAGACACCGCTTTCGTGTACGCGGATGGCCAGTCCGAGAGCATCCTGGGGGGCCTGGGGCTTGGGCTGGACCGCAGCGGCTGCAAAGGTACGGATCACGCCTTTCATTCACCCGCACTGAGCAGAGCTGGTTCTTCCCCAGTATAGCTTCGTCCCACTCCCGAGGCTCTGATCTCATTTTATCCACCCAACAGCTGAGAATCATAGACTCCACAGGCTAGCTTTGCACAACTCTACAATCTCCTCCTCGTCTTCCAAAAAAGTGACTCAGGACCCTCTTCCCACAATCCACCAACCCTGGCTCGCCCAAATCCCATGAGGTTAGCCTGTCTCTGGGGCGTTAAGCATGTTGGGAAGCCCCCACTACGCAGTTTCTCCCATCCAGTCCCTAGCAGGTAGGTGCCTCTAGCACTCCTCAGCAACTGGGCTCCCTGTTTTGCGGTTAGCAGAGCCCCAGGACAGCCCCAGGACAACCCCAGCACAGACTTTGGACCACGCAATAGATCTGCTTGCTTGTGGCCTTCTTGTTCAGGACCCTGAAGTTCGTTCCCTGAAACTCTGGGTACCTGTTGGGTTAGCAGTGATTTCAGCTTTACCAAGGAGTAGCCCCTTTACTGGCATAGGGAAATGGGGTCATGCAAGCCTGTGGGGGGTCAACCAGCAGAGTCACGATCTGCGGGAGGTAAGAAGACAGTTATGTTCAGCACTACTAAACAGCCAGTGTTGGATTTATGGCACATTGAAGCATAGCACAATTTGGCGAACCGTTCCTGGTGGTAACAGAATCCCATTTGCACCATAGGGCAAGCACACAGCTCCTTGAAGAGTGAAGTAAGCTGAAGAAAGATTAGACATGACTACATCAAAACTTTTCTTTTAGATTTATTTATTATGTATACAGTGTTCTGCCTCCATGTATGCCTGCAGGCCAGATGAGGGCACTAGATCTCATTATAAATGGCTGAGAGCCACCATATGGTTGCTGGGAATTGAATTTTAAAAACAAACAAATAGCAACAACAACAACAGAAAAAAAAAAAAAACCAGGTTCTTTAGCCCAGCCATGGTGGCACAGACCTTTAATCCCAGCACTCGGGGGTTATGCTTGGCAGCAGGCATGTTTGCTACCTGAGAAACCCAGAAGAGGGTGTCAGATCTCTTGGAATTGGAGCTGCAGATGATTGTGAGCCAGCATGTGGGTGCTGGATTTGAACCCAGGTCCTCTGGAGGACAGCCAGTGCTCACAACCACTGAATTATTGCTCAGCCCTATTAGACTAGCTGCAGAGTGAGCCTCAGGATCTGCCTGTCTTCCCTCCCTAGCCACTGGGTCCTAGGAAGACCCTGCCAAGCCCCCCTTTTTCACATGGCTCACACGTGCACCTTAAGCACTTTCCACAAGTGACTGGTTTCCCCCTTCTTCACTTGTATTGTTCTCTCCCAAAGTAAAAATTGCCACAAAGTCTGTTCCATACCTTGGGACACCAAAGACACTAGACAACATCCGGTTCCAGCTGGAGACGTCGCTGAAGCGGCTGCAGTGTCCCTGGGTGGACCTCTTCTACTTACACATGCCAGACCACAACACCCCCATAGAGGAGACGCTGCAGGTCTGCCACCAGCTGCATCAGGAGGTGAGTGTGGCCCCTGAGCTTGGGGAGATGCCCTCTGACCTTTCCAACTTGACCCTGCCAGGGGAGTGAGTGCTGGCCACATACAGCAGGGCGGTCATAGACCTCACTCCAGGCTGCCCTCCCAGTCAGTCTCCCCTTCCTGGTCTCCTGGACTGAGCTGGGCTCTGATGGAGTCTCTCCCCTGCAGGGCAAGTTTGTGGAGCTTGGCCTGTCTAACTATGCCTCCTGGGAAGTGGCTAAGATCTGTACCCTCTGCAAGAAAAATGGCTGGATCATGCCAACTGTGTACCAGGTGAGAGGAATCTGGTGTTTTAGGACCATCCAGACTTTGGATCATTTGGAGTCCAAGGATCCAATGATCTTGAATCTTTGGACATAACCACGACCCCTGCCACCAGGACTATGGGAATGCCCTCATTCTTAAGGTCTGGGATTGTTCAGGACTAAATTGAGGGACTTTATCAAGTTACATTTTAAGTTTCTTGACATGTTTCCCCTGTCCAATTGTTTCCCTGCAGGGAATGTACAATGCTACTACCCGGCAGGTGGAGAAGGAGCTCCTCCCCTGCCTCAGACACTTTGGCTTGAGATTCTATGCCTACTGCCCTTTGGCTGGTATGAACTGCCGTGAGAACAGGACCTGTGTGATGGAGGAGGGTTTTCTGTCTATTGTTACTTTTATTGGTTAATAAAGAGACTGCCTTAGCCTTTTTAATAGGCCAGCCCTTAGGTGGGTGGAATAGACAGAACAGAATTGTGGGAAAGAAAGAGGCAGGCAGTTGCCATGACTCTCCTCTCTGAGACAGCCATAGGTTAGAATCTTCCTGGTAAGCCACCACCTTGTGGTGCTACATAGATTATTAGAAATGGGTTAGATCAATATGTAAGAGTTAGCCGATAAGAGGCTACAGATAATGGGCCAGGCAGTGTTTAAAAGAATACAGTTTCCGTGTAATTATTCCGGATAAAGCTAGCCAGGAGGTGGGCGGTGGGAAGAGGCCTGCCGTTCCCTTTTACAGAGTGGCGCCCAACGTGGGGTGTGTGGGTGTGTAGGCATGTCCTGTTAGATGCCCAGTGCAGGCCCTAGGAGGTGGGGGAGACTTTGAGAAGGCGACGGCTGGGTTCCCTCTCTCCAGACTCCTGGCTGTGCTCCAATTCCTAGCAGTCAATGATCTGGTGGTCTCTGGGAGGATCTGGATCAGGATCTGACTTTTGTCCTCCTACAGGGGGCCTGTTGTCTGGCAAGTACAAATATGAAGTAGAGGATGAGAAGCAGCCCTTGAGCCGCCTGTTTGGGAAGAAATGGGATGATTTATACAGGGACTGGTGAGCTGTGTTGGGGGTTGTGTCTGGCCCAAAGTCCATATCCTAGTTCCTATCCCAGCGCCCACAGAGCAAGTCATTCTCAGTTGTTTGTTCAGTTTGTTTAATGTAAATAAATGCTTGCCTGCATGCCTGTCTGTGCACCACATTAAAGCAGTGCCTAAGGAGGCCAGCAGAGGGCAGCAGACCACCTTGAAACTGGGGTTGCCAAAGGTTGTTTAGCGCCATGGGTATTGAAGCGTTGTCATCTCTCTGAACTGCTAAACCATGTCTCCAGCCCCTATTGGCCCTCTTCTGAAGATATAGGACAGGCAGTGATCGATCAGGACATTGACACCTTTTCATGGCCGTTGTGTGCGTGCAACTGTGCGTGCTTGTATGTGTATATATGCACACATAACCCCAATACACAAATCAAATCAAAACGAATTAAATAAGATGAAATAAGAAAAAAATGGGTTGGAGAGAGAGAGAACTTGTGTAGCAGATGCAAGGTATGATTTAGTTCTCATTTCTGAGAGGAATAAAAGGTTGAACTAAGAAAATGTAAAAAGAGGGCTCGAGAGAGATGGCTCAGCGGTTAAGAGCACTGCCTGCTCTTCCAAAGGTCCTGAGTTCAATTCCCAGCAACCACATGGTGTAAAGAGATCTGGGACCCTCTTCTGATGGACATGCAGAAAGAATACTGTGAATACTGTATGCATAATAAATAAACAAATCTTTAAAACAGAAAAAGAAAATATAAAAAGAAGAAAAATTAGCAAGACTGTCAACTATAATCCATGTCCAGAGAGAGTTATAAGAAAATTGTTTCCTTTCCCGTTCTTTTCTTAGACAGGGCTCAGTATGTAGCCCAGGCTAACCCATAACTTACTCTCTTCCTTCCTGCTTTACCTTCCTAAGTGCTGGAATTAGATGTGTGCCCCTATGGACTGCCACTTAGAGGGAAGAAAAGGGGGAGGGGATTGTTATTGAGAATAGATTCTTCTCTCATACAATTTATCCTGACCACAGTTCCCCTCCCTCCACTCTTCCGGCTCCCCTGTAGCATGTCTCTCTGTGTTCTCCCAGCCAGCTCCCAGCTCCCAAATCACCACACAGAGGTTATTACTAATTATGGAAGCTCGGCTGATAGCTTAGGCTTGCTCCTTACCAGCTCCTATAATTTAAATTAAGCCATTCCTATTAATCTGTGTGCTGCTACATGGCTTGTGTCCATTACCTCTCCTCCTGTATGTCCTGCTTGTTCTCTGTCTGTTGACCCCACCCCCCACCATGTCTCTGCCTTCTTCCCAGAAGCCTCTGAGCCTGGGAATCCTTCCTAGCTATCAGCTGTTCATCTTTTTATTAACTGAATCACAGTGACATACCTTTACAGTGTAAAGGATTATTCCAGAACATGACCCCAGATCCACTCCTCCTCTGTATCCCTCCAAGAGACAACAGTCAAACATGTCAAAAGAAGATACAATAAGTCAAGGCCAAAGCTGTCATATGGAGCTGGACAAGACAACCCAACAGGAAGAAGAGTCCCAAGAGCAGGCAAAACATTTTTTGAGGCAAGATTTCATATATCCCAGGCTGGTCTTGAACTTGCTATGTAGCTGAAGATGACCTGAATTTCCAATCCTCCTGCCTCTGCCTCGCCATTGCTGGGATGAAAGATGTGTTCCCCACACCCGTTCTGTGAAGAGACAGTGAGTGAAGTCAGGTCTCCCTGCAGGGCTAGGCAAGCAACCACCAGCTGACCTACCTTCCCCTCACCAGCCCCTCAGGCCTGCAGAGAGCAGACCACACTCAAATGACACCAAGCTACTGACCCCTGTGCTTCCATCCCCGTTCAATCAGGTTCTGGAAGAAGAAACACATCGAAGGTGTTGACCTTGTGAAGAGGTCCCTGCAGACCACCTACGGCAGCAGCGCCCCCAGCATGACCTCGGCTGCCCTGCGCTGGTTGTACCACCACTCAGAGCTCCAGGTAGCCTGGCCATCCCTTGCCTGCTTGCTCAGCTTCTGCCCCTATGGGGGACCCAGAGGTGCCGTTCGGGGAGTTCTTAAGAGTGAATTTCCCCCATCTTCTGAATTCTTGTCTTCTACTTCTCATGCCACATTTGCCTTTGCTCTCCCTAGACATCTGTGTCAGGCTTGGCATAGAGCCTCACACTGTGCCTTAAGTATCTCTTAGGCCTTAGGCATTATGGTTAGAAACGCTGATGAGGAGTCTGGGGTCCGTACAGTCCTACTAAGGGGATGGAAATCATATAAGCTTATTTGAAGCACATATAAGCCCTGTTCCTAGGGTGGGAGCCATTCCTCTCTGCTCTGGGGATCGGCATCTTGCTCGTGAAGTCTCTTCAGCTCCAGCCTTAGATAACAACGTAGTGTGTGCCATGCTTCCCAAGGACGCTCCATAAGTGGAGTTAAAAAACAAACAGGAAATAAGGGCATCGTGGTGAAGCAAAATACCGCAGGAGTTTTACAAATTGAGGAGCTCTTCAGCCTGCACAGATGAACACAGGGAAGGGGCTGGAGGAAGGCTGAGGTATACAATCTATAGGTCTGACTGTCAGACATACAGTCAGGTCTTTCTGGGTGTTTAGGATGCAAACATACACAGATTCCAAATGTTAGCAACCGATCGGCAAAGAAGGGCAGTTGATAGGAGCCAGAAGGGTGCTAGTATCTGACTGTCTCCCCTTGCAGGGCCCCCGAGGGGATGCAGTCATCTTGGGCATATCCAGCCTGGAGCAGCTGGAACAGAACTTGGCGGCCACTGAGGAAGGGCCCCTGGAGCCGGCTGTCGTGGATGCCTTTAACCAAGCCTGGAACCTGGTCGCCCACGAATGTCCCAACTACTTCAGATAGATGTCCTGACTCAAGCTGCCAAGGGCTTTCCCGCCACCTCTTGGCCATTCCCTGCCTGATGCTGACTCACTGTGGCCCTTCTGCTGGTCTCCACCCACACAGTCTTCTAGATGGCAGCCCTGCTCCCTGTCACCTCTCAGTGAGGAAAGTCGGGGCTGAGTCCGACAGCACCACTTCCTGTCTGAATAAAGTGGGCATCTGCCTGGCTGCAGCCAGCACTGAACCTCACGCTCTCTCCTCTGCTCCACACCTGCTCCCTCCATGCTGCCTCAGGACCCACCAGACAGGGTGGAACCAGGAGCTGGGGCTCCAGGGAGCATAGGTGTGGGAGGGTCTCACACTGCCTGGCATGGGTCACCTGACCATGTGCTGATCTCGCCCTTCCCCTCACTCTTCTACACGTATCACAGAAGGAGGTTGGCATTGGTGTGCACACCTGTTAGTTCCAGGACTCAGGAGACTCTGCAGGGAGGCATGCCCCCAGTGTGAGGTCAAGACTGATCTACATAGTGAGTTCTAGGTCAGCCAGGGACTCTTGTCTCCAACGGACAGAAAGTGAACCAGAAACCATTACCTTATGGAACTCTTCTCCTTTTTTTTTTTTTTTTTTTTTAAAGATAGTGTTTCTTTGTGTATTAGTCTTGGCTGTCCTGGAACTCACTCTGTAGACTAGGCTGGCCTGAACTCACAGAGATCCCTTCTTCTGCACCCTCAGAAGTTTGCCCAGAGACTGCTCTACCAGCTAATTCTGGGTCTCATTAAGTTGACAGCTCTGATTAACCAAGATGGGGCTCATACCTCAAAATAAACCCAGACCTGTAGTGCACGCCTTTAGTCCCAGCACTCGGGAGGCAGAGACAAGGGAATTTCTGTGAGTTCGAGGCCAGCGTGGTCTACAGAGTGAGTTCTAGGACAGCTAGGGCTGTTACACAGAGAATCTCAGAAGAAGGTGGAGGAGGAGGAGAAATAAGAGGAGGAGGAGGAGCATTAGTTTCTCTAAAGGGAAAATTAATGCAGAGCTGAGCATGGTGGTGCATTCCTGTAATTTCAGCACCATGTAGAAGGCTGAAGCAGGAGAATTGCTGTAAGTTCTAGTCCAGCCTGTGCTAGAGTGAGATACTATCTCCTGAATGGATGGATGAATGAATGAATGAGTGAATGATACAGACACCCTCCATAATGACCCAGCAGTTCTATCCTTTAGCTACAGACCTGAAAGGCAGGCTATCCCCAAAACCTTTCTCCTCGGGGTTCTTGGCAGCGGTGTTCATAGCCCAAAAGTCAATCAACTGAGTGAATGGGCAAGCACGAGATGAAGGGCTTCCGCTGACTTCTGCAATCCCTTCATTGGTTCTGAGGAGCCACAGTGCTTGCATCTCCCTCATGCAGGGAAGAGAGGAGTCCCTGAGGGAGTGATGTCCCAACTAAATGGCACCTTGACACGGGCTTGGCTTGTCAAGGTCTATGAGAAACTGGCAAAGCGGTCCCTTGCACATATGGACCAGGTTCAGGTGGGATGGCCAAGCTTTCCTTGTGAGTGAGTGTGAGTGTGAACAAAGCTGAGCAACTGCAGCTTCCTCTTGCGGAACGTTTACGGCCTGAGACTATTCGCCTACAGAGAGCTCTCAAATAACTACACAGAGACTTCTTATTAATCATGAAAGCTTGGCCTATAGCTTAGGCTTGTTTCTAACTAGCTCTTATAATTTAAATTTGCCCATTAATATTAACCTCCATTCTATCACATGGTGTCACGTGCCTCCCATCTTACAACTCCTGTTTCCTCTCCCTGTCTCCTGGCATCTCCCGCGTGCCTGCATTCTTCCTTCTCTTCCTTTCTCTCTGCCCAGAAGTCCCACCTATCTCTCCTGCGTAGCTATTATCATTCAGATTTTTATTACACCAATCACAGCAAACCACTTTCACACAGTGCACAGTTATCCCATAACACATGGGCCGGTCACCGTCCATCTGCTGGAATCTCCCCGAATCAGCAGCCCATGTGGATTTGATGGTCACCTTGAATTCAGCCATCTCATACCCAAAAAGCTTTTGTAACAGGAGGAGGAAGCAGAGTGAGAAGTAACATCTGTGAGCCACGTCCCAGCAGAAGGTTAAAGATAACGGCTTTTCCCTGTGAGCCATGTCCCAGCAGAAGGTTAATAACGACGACGGCCCTTCCCCCAAGTTGCAGATCCGGACTCACCAAGACCCGGGCCTGCTCTGGAGTCAGCACATCGCCCTCCTTGCACACTTCATAGTCAGATAGCAGGGTCACCACAGCTGTGAGAGGACAGCAAGTTACTCCCAACAGGAGCTCACAAGGCCCCTGCTGCTAGCGCTCTGTGCCAGGAAGCATTTGGCCTCAGACTCTTCCCTGCAGCTCAGCACCCACAGGGTCAGTGGCCGCCTCTTCCATGTCCTGCAGGTGATGAATGCACAGTCCTGCCTTCTCAGAAGAAACTGGAGAAGTGGCTGGTCAGAGGGGAGAGCCTGGGGAAGGTGGTCCTGAGCTGCTTTCTGTTCTGGACTTTCCTACATTCTTCCTTTCTTCTTCCTCCTCCTTCTTTCCAGATAGGGTTTCTCTGTTTTTAGCCTTGGCTGTTCTGGAACTCACTATGTAGACCAGGCTATCTTCAAACTCAGAGACTTGCCTCTGCTTTCTCAGTACTGGGATTAAAGGCTCCTTCTTTTTTACATTTTCTAAAAATTATTCTATGTGTTTTGCCTACATGCATGACAGTGGCACCATGTGAATAACTGCTGCCTGTGGAGGTCAGATGAGGGTGCTGGGAATCAAACCCATGTCCTATATAAAAGCAGCCACTACTCTTAACCCTGAGCCACCTTTCCAGCCACCTACCTTTCTTGAGGGCAGTGGGCAGGCCCAGCTGCCTCAGCTGTGGCTCCATGGAATGAGGGAACTGCTTCAGGGGCCCTGGATCCAGGTTCACGGTTAAAGATGCTTTGTTCCCAGCTCTAGCAAAATCCATTTCTGTATACTTTGTGAACCACCTAAGGCAGAGAACGGTGATGGGTCCCGGTTGTCACAACACTTAGCTGAAGTCTGGCCCTGATTTGAGTGCACACAATGCGGGGTCTCCTATCCTTGTCCATCTTGGCTGTGGACCAGCACCCAGCAGAGAGCGACCACACCAGAGAGAATGGGAGGACCCAGGTCACAGAATCTGGTTCTAGTAAGAGGCTTCCAGGACCCAGCCCCAGTTCGATGTCACCACCAGACCACCCTTTCAGCTTTCCCGACCTTCAGCTTCTCCCCCGACCCCTCAGAAACACTCACCCGTTCACCTCCTCCTTTGTGCGGTTGGTAAAGAGGAGCCCAACTTCACCTCTCAACCTCTTGCTGACCTGAAAAATGACAGTGAGCAACCCTGCTCCTTCACTAAGGGACCCTAGCCACGGGGGGCGCCCGGTTATCATCAGAAACCTTTTCTGATCGGCACAACCCCTAGTATGCAGGGCAGGAGGGCACAATAGGAACAAGGGCCTTATCCACTGGGGATGCCTGGTTATCATCAGATACCTTTTCTTTACTTTCTTTTCTTTCTTTTTTTTTTCTGTTTTTTTGAGACATGGTTTCCCTGTATCTTTGGAACCTGTCCTGGAACTCAGTCAAACTCACAGAGATCCACCTGTCTCTGCCTCCCAAGTGTTGGGATTAAAGGTGTGCACCACCACTGCCTGGCCTAACACCTTTTCTGATTGGTAGAACTCCTAGTAGGCAAGGTGGAAGGGTATAATGAGAACAGCCCCATGGGCCTGCAGATTAAGAAGACAATTTAAACTGATCTTAGCTCTCCTGGACCCAGAGATCCCTAAATACATCTCCTTGCATAAACCAGGGGCCCTTAGTCCCTTCGGCTGACTGCTTGATTTACTACAGTGTGGCAGCAGGACTCAGTCCTGCTGAGGGAGTGTTCTCGATGGTAACCCTAACCTCCTGGCTGAGGCAGGACCATTTCCTGCGATAGGGCATGGTGCAGAGGCTACCAATGGCTAGGCGCCACTATGGAATAACATGTACTGCTGCGGTCTACAGGAACCATGTAGTGAGATCTCAGCTGGTAGAGCAGAAGGCTGACTCACCAGAATGAATGCTTTCTGATGAAGGCAAACCCAGTTTGCAAGGCACTGGGCCTACCATCTTTTGCATACTGACTGATTCTCACAGGGGATCTCTTGTGAAGTCATAAGAACTCTCCATTGGTGCAAGATTCAGCAGAGTATGCATCATTGGACCCAATTCTTTTTCATGTACTGGTCTATTGGGTCATCACTCCCAACTCTGCAGGACCTCCAGTGGGAAGTTTAGTCTCGCAGTCAATAACCTTGGTTCCCACAGTCTAATCTCTGCTCCGTTTCCCGAGATACATCAGAGCCACCTCCCTGCAGCTCTCTTCCATTTGGCAGGACACGCAGTCAGGAAAGGAGTCTTTCATATAGATCACATTCGGGACCTTCAAAGATAAAGGGACGTCCAAGCTCAGAGAATTGCCTTTGTTTTGTGTTTGTATAAACTGGAAACTTTACAGAACAGGAGGAGAACAACAGGAGAAGAATAGAGAAACGGATGCAGGAAAGTACATAGGGGAGAGATCTTTTCACCCTCAGACCTAATCCTGCGCTTGCTGTGAGTCTTCTTCTGAACCCTGAAGAGACACTGAGGCTGACACTCGGAGGTCCCCGATAATGTACCATTCCACCTTTTGTAAAAGACAGAATTTTTCCGGGTGGTGGTTGTGCGCTCCTTTATTTCAGGCACCTCGGAGGCAGAGGCAGGCAGATCTTTTAGTTTCAAGTCAGTCTAGTGTACACAGAGAAACCCCATGAAGAAAGAAAGGAGAGTACCAATAGTCAACCAAAATTTTATTCTTTTTGTAAAAATTAAAGAGATAATCTATCTCACTCCTTTTTTTAGTTTTTTAGGTTTTTCAAGACAGGATTTCTCTGTAACTTTGGAGCCTGTCCTGGACCTAGCTCTTGTAGACCAGTATGGCCTCAAACTCACAGAGATCTGCCCACCACTGCCTGGCAATAATCTAATTCATTAGCATAGTCTTTAATGAATGGCAAAATTGCTTGTTACCAAAGAATTATTTTCAAAGATTCTGTTTTACATTTTTTAATTTTTTGAGACTGGTTCTGGTGGGGCCCAGATGATGACCTTGAGCTCCCAATCCTGACTCTGTGGGAAGTACTGGGGTGACGAGCATGACTCAACATCCCCAGCTTCCGTAACCTTCTCTAGGGCTTATCGGCATGTGTACGCCTATTTCTATATACTGATGTGATTATGTGACTGGAGTCTCATAAATATTTCTCTAATCAGAAGCAGTGGCCAATGGGAAAAATTTAGGAAATCGGTGCTTGAGCTATAGTCCCTGAACCCCGATTTTTATTGACTTGGGTATTTTTGTTGTTGTTGTTGTTGTTGACTTGAGACAGGGTCTCATGTAATTCTTGAGTCTCCTGTTTCTACATGCCAAATGGTGGGTGACGGGTGTGGCCCTCCACACTCAGCTCCTGTGGTGTGCGGAAGCCCAGGCTTTTGTGTGATAGACAAGTAAGTGCTTTGCCAACTGAGCTGCACTCCTGACCCCTCTTTGGATATTTGAAACAGAGTCTTGCTATGTAACGCTGGTTGGCCTGGTACCCAATTGCCCAGGCAGGCATTGAAATTCTGAAGTTTAATCCTGCCTTGGCCTATAGAGTGCAGGGTCCCCATACTGTGGCTGTTGGTTCTTTTTTGTTGTTGTTGTTTTGTTTTTTGAAAAAGGGTTTCTCTGTGAAACATCCCTGACTGCCCTAGAACTCACTTTGTAGACCAGGCTGTCTTCAAACACACAGAGATCCCACCTGCCTCTGCCTCCCGAGTACTGGGGATTAAAGGCATGCGCCAACACAGCCCAGCTGTGGCTGCCTTCTAATGATCTTTTTTTTCTTCTTCTCTGATTTGAAGGACTGGTCTCATACTGTAGCCCAGGAAGGACTAGAACTCACTAGATAGTCCAGGCTAGCCTAAGGCAGTCAGTCATCTTCTCAAACATGAGCCATCACACTCGGCAGGGTCACCGACTGTAGTGTACAGCTCTGAAGGTTTGTACACACAGTCTTGAGTCACCCCACAATCAACACAGTCCCATCCCCAGCGCAGCTCTCCATGACCTCCTCTCTCTGAGGACCCTGGAAGCCAATGGTATGTGTCCTGGTGCTGGAGTGTTGTGGGGTACCCATCAGAGAGGACGCCTCACACATGGGTTTAAGCCAACAGAAAGTCTCTATTAGCCAGCCAGAGACCACCAGACATTTGGGATCCCGGAGTAGCCCTCAGCCTTTCTCAGGGTGAGCTTTTAAGCACAAAAACCATATTCTGGGTTGACATTCTTCAGTGTTCGCCAGAAACAGAACTGCAGAAGTCAAAACAAAAGGTGGGTACAGTTAGTGATGTCCCCAGAAATATGGATCTGAGGGATTAGGTCTTTGCTTCATTTTGGAAAGTGATGTTGTCTCCATGATGAGTTTCATAACCTGAATGGTATTTCCATCATGGAGTCAGTTCTGTCAAGGTCTGGGACCTGCATTAGAGAAGGAGGCCAGAGAGGGCACTGAGCCCTCTGGAAGTGCAGTTACAGAAGGTTGTGAGCAGCCATGTGGTCCTGGACATCATACCTGGGTCCTCTGGAAGAGCAGCCAGTGTTTTTACTGCGTAGCCTCCTTTCTATCCCTTTGTTTCCTGTCCCTCTGGAGTTGTGTCTGTGCGGCAAGGTCACACACAGAATCACTTGTGTGGCCCCGAGGCTTCTTCTACCTGCTGAGACTCCTCTGCTACCATGGGTTCACAGCTTAGTCCTTTGCCCACTCTACCCAGGGGACATCAGGTTGTTTTTGTATTGTTCTGCCACTTCCAAGTGAACAACTCTAAAGTCTCCTTGATGGTAGAGATATGGCTCAGTTGGTAGAGGGCTCCATGGTCACAAAATCCTGGTGAGATTGTCATCTACCATCCCAGCACTTAGTAGGTGTGGGCAAAAGAACAAAAAGTTGAAAGTCATCCTCAACTATAGAAGTTGAAGCCACAGGAGATAAATAAGACTCTTTCAAATATATATGTACATGTGTGTATGTATATGTGCTGAAAAGGAAAAAAATACCACCCTGGACAACCCCCCTCCTTGGTATCCAGGTGGGTCTCCAGCTAGGAAGGCAAGAAGAGATAGGGAAACAGGAAGCCCCTGGACAACCCCCTCCTTGGTATTCAGATGGGTCTCCAGCTAGGAAGGCAGGAAGAGATAAGGAAAACAGGAAGCCCCTGGACAACCCCCTCCTTGGTATTCAGGTAAAAGGTCAAGAATTTGCCACTCAGTTCGCACTCTCGGCCTTATTTGAATTGACCAATGGAATGAATCCCCATAACCAAGCATCTCGTTTCTGTTCCCGCACTTTTGCTCTCCTATAAAAACCCCTCACCCCAGCCTGACGGCGCGCAAGTCTTTCGAGAGACCTTGTCGCCCCAGGTACCTGTGTATTCGAATAAACCTCTTGCTGTTTGCATCCGTAAGTGTGGTTTCGTCTGATTCGTGGGTTCGGGGCCTCTCTCGTAAGGAAGACATCCCTGGGGGGTCTTTCAGTGCATGCATGGATAAAGAACAAAAGAGAAACATTTGAATATAGGCTTTTGTGTGAATATATCCTTTCATATTTTGAATTAAAAAAAAA